CATGTGTTTCATATTATCCTATATATGATTATTAATACAATAGTTGTGCTAAAGAATAGATGGTTTGTATTCAACAACACAATGGGATGTGTTTTAGTTGTGATTAATATAATTCAATTTGGATTTACTTGTCTGACAATAATGACAAAACCCAACCATTTTGTATATATCAATATTTAACCAGTTTTTGGCTTAATATAATGGTATGAATACTTTTTACACATATTATTAATATTAATGTTTTAATAGTTTATATTATCCTAACTAACTTGAATAGTACTTACTCTTACTAGAAAATGTTTTACACCATGAACAGTTGTCATTCTTTTGTATTACTCTTTGTGATGAGTTTATTATTAATAATTAATTATATTTATTGACTAATATTTAATATAGATTATCCGTGACTCATATGATTTGTTGATTAGTTAAAACTAATGTTAGGGTTTAATGTTTAAAATTAATAACAATATTATTAATAGTAATATTGCTGTAATCCAGTAATCTTAACATACTTTCAAAAAACAACACAAAGAGTCGGCAAATAAAATCATATACTGTGCTATTTTGGTGTTAATTATATTAATTTAAATTTCAATTACAATAACTAAATTCAGAAGTGGATAAACAGCATAATAACACTCTCTCCTCACTCTTTACTCATTTGCATATTTTGTTTGATTAACTCTTTTTGTAATAACTTTTTTCTTTTATGGTATTCATTATCTTATTATTTTTTGTTATATACATGTCGTGCCAAAAAACAATATACTTTTATTTGCTTTATATTATTAATGATGACTTATTTTACAGAGAATGAATTTTTTAAAAAATATAACAAAAATATATAAATATAATGGTCAACAGAATTGAATTTTATATAAGTATAGTCCAAATAATATTCACATACTTTCTACAATACAACATTATTGTATTTATTTATTGGTGAATTTATCTTTTATCAGCCTGTTTTGTTATATTTGACTAAAACAATAAGAAATCTCTCTCTCTCTCTCTCTCTCTCTCTGTAAAATAAGTCATCATTAATAATATAAAGCAAATAAAAGTATATTGTTTTTTGGCAAAATGCTTATAATAGAAAAGTAATTACAATAGGAATAATAGCGTATAATATATTGAGAAATTCAGTATTATATAAATTATATTATCCTCTCTCTCTCTCTCTCTAACGATAATTTTTGTTAAAGATATAGTAATCGCGAGTTAAGGAGACTAACTATTGGCACCCTTTTATAGAGATGTTAATGTTTGGTGTCTTTTGTTGTAATCGCAGTGTTTTGTGGAGAAATAAGTTAAAAATAAATACAATTTAATTACTCATTATGTTTGCGACACAATCACAATGAATGACTAATTCGCTACAAATTGTTCGCATAATTTATATTTAGACACAAAAGGGATTACTGTTATCTGTTATTCAATAATTTTAGACTTTTATTTCTTATGTATTTTGTTTTCTCAAACATTCAGTGGTGTTGTGTTTGAGTGCATGAATCTGTCGGTACATGTAATACATGTCGTACTGTATATAACTAACTGTTATATCTGTGCCTAAAATTAACATCTAATGTAATTAAGGTCTTAACAGAAATACAAACTATACAAACATTCCTCAAATTCATTCCAATTAGTATTAAAATGATTTGTCTTTTGACTATCGATTGTCTTTCACGCAGTTTTCCTCTCATTTCCTCTCTATTTCTCTGTTGTTTTGTTAACACAACTAATGGTAAACAAAAATCTGAAGTTTAGATAAAAGTAATAAATATTCTGTTAGAGTAATAACATCTTTGTTGTCGCAATGAAAACAAAGTCTTTTAAAACTTAATTCTTGTTTAATTACAGGACTTTTTGTGTGTCTGTTTGATGTGCTTTTGAGTGAATGCCAGCTCTAAGTAGTAGTCGTTTTTACACATGAATTAAAGATCAAACATTTAAATCCACTATAAATTTGGATAACGTTTAGCTATGAATCAAGATTTACATCAAACTAACGGCAAAAATAGCATCAATAGTGACAACAATAGCAAAGATGCCATCACTGGTGACACCAATTCCAGTGACAGCGACGAAGACTTGAAACACTTCCATAAGCAGGACGACAAACACAGCGATTCCGAGTCCAATGGACACAACAGGCCCTCAAATGCCAGACATACCGCTCACTCAAAAGCTTTACGAAAAGAGAAATTTGATAAAATGTCGTCAAAACGGACGACAATGGATGATGTGGTGAAACGTTTGAACAAATATAACAACAGTATAGACAACGACCAGAACTGTGAGCGGAGTCGGCGTCTATTGGCCAGTGCTCTCGATTTGTCACAATTGGCCACTAATTCCAGCGACGGCTCCGGTATTCGGGAAACGGAACAAAGGCTGACAGCTATGATTGAACAGTTGCAGCACTTGAGACAGAAGTTGGTTAATCATCAACAGGTTTCGGTCGGTAATCCATTTTTTATGCCCAAACAATAGCTTTACGTATAATAGCTTTTTTGCGCAGACGTTACCAATAGTGTAGATTTGATCCAATAAACAGATCTGTTGTCCGCCTATTGGATAAGATATGTGCCATTGTCTTAACACAATTGCTACCAAAAATCAATAAAATCATAGTTGTATTTATTTCTTCAAAATAAATATATCCTATATAACAAAGTCCATTGCAGATAGACTATACACACATTGATAATTGAACATTCATGGTCTTTATTTCGCAAACACTTATCCTTATAATTTATTTCAATATAATTTAAATATTATATAAATTTTCAATTTATAACAAATTTTAATTTATTTTAAAATTAAGATTAACTGTTTATTTCATACGAAATATTTTGCGGACTTATAAGTTATAACCATATTTAGATGAATCAATGAGAATGACATCCGATTCTTATACAGTATACTTTGAATTGAGATTTGATTTGAAAATAATTTAGTATTTTTTTGTGAAATTCAATCTTATTTATAAGAATCATTATTTGACGGATTATTATTGAGGAAATAATAATAACTTTCATTTTCTACATAGATTTAAATGTGTTTGTGATGTAAAAGTCTATGAAAAGCGCTAACAATTCAATACATTTATTTAGAAATAATTAGTATTAAATTTGCGTAAATTCTGATTTCACTCACAATAATCTATTTATTTATAACTATAGAAATACTGACTTAAATATTAAATCTTATTATATTTATTCTAATGTTTGTTTTACATATATTATTTCATTTTATTCAATATATAAATAATACCATAATTATAATACATAACAAATATAATTTTTATTAAATTAAATAATTTTAATTTTACCAATCTTATTTAACAACCCATTACTTTTACACATTATCCTTTTTCTCAGTTCATTTCACACTAACTGTTTGTTATTAGTATCTAGATAATAATAAGTTATTACTTTACTGTTTGAAAATGTGATTTAATTTAAAAGTGAATTGTGTTAACAAAATAAGCTGTTATTCATTATAAAAACCATAACTTTAGCGGACCTTAAAAACATGTTTTTACGTTTAAATTACTATTTGTCGCTAAAGTATTGTCTGATTTATTGAACGATAGGCACAACTGAGCGCTGAGTATATGTCAAAACTGATGCCTAACCTAATGGGCGATGAGGCGACCGCCGCCGCCGCTCAGGTCATACTCTCACCCTTTATGGACGGGTCGCTGAAGTTGTCGTACTCTGAGGCCAACCTTTTCAATCAGATGTGTCAGACAGCGGGTGTGACTCCCGCTATGATACACCCGATGGCACACATATCGGGCACCAAATCACCCAATTCTTCATCAGCCGTGACCAACAATTATGACACACAATCAACGCATCACCTCCTGATGGGCTGTCCGTCTCCTGTCAAACACATGTCATACAAAGACGGCTCACTTTCCGCAGACATCTCATCGAAAGACAGATACCATAGCAGTCGTAACTCAAGTCCTTTACAATTAGATAGGAATGAGACCAATATCACCACTAATACCACTAATAGCGGATCCAATGTCACGAATAACGCTAATTCTGACGCTCCGCTCAATCTCTCGAAATCTAAATCATCAATAATTACCACTTCTTCGCAATCGTTTGCGTCAAATCCATCGGTGATCACGAGTGGGATTAATGGGTGCACTAATTATGTCTCACAATCAAAGCCATCATTTAATAGAAATCATTCGCCTCTCTCTTCGCCCCCAATCGTGCCAACAATGATCTCATCCCAATTGTCACAACTATCTCATCCGTCGCCGTCGACCTTCTTTGGCAGTCCGGGTCTCACATCAAATCAATACTTTCAGGCATACAATGCTTTGGGAATCGGTTTCAGAGGTTCTCACATCAGTCATGACATGTCGTCTATGCCTTCAATGCAGGACAAGGCGTTCAACCCATTCGGTCCACTATTATTACAGGACCTCTCAATTCTGACGCCGACGTCAACCGTCTCTTCGGCCGCAATCGGACTGCAAATGGATAGACATCGTAATGAAGGCCAACAGCAGCACAACGACAACACCGATACTATCGTCACGTGTCAGAGTACGTCCATTCTCTTAGATGATTCACATATTCTTGAATTTAAAAAATGACCATTTTTTCAATTATTCTATATTTAATTCTACAATTTAAAGATATCTAAGAATTCAGTTTTTACTTAATTTTAGCGTAAATGTTGTTAATATAGTATTATATATTTTATACGTTATACAATATGCAATATTATATTGTTTAAATATTTAAGACTATAATAATTTTTAAAATTATTTGAAGAATTCATTTTCAGCGAATATATTATATAATACTTTATATCTATATATAGATAGCGAAACTAATAGTTGATGAAATAGTTTGTTAACATTTAATTTGCTTGTTATCACAATTAAAGGCAAAATAATGGGCGCAAAGATTATACGTCAACAGAAACGAGATCAGGACGGAAAGAGTCACGTCAAGCGACCAATGAATGCATTCATGGTTTGGGCCAAAGACGAGAGACGCAAAATATTGAAAGCCTGTCCCGATATGCATAACTCAAATATATCGAAAATTTTAGGTAAGTTTATACTAATTCTCAAATATGAGACCATTTTAAATATAATAATTAATATTATTATAACTACTTTTGTTGAATAAAATACCAACTATTATTCTATCAATAGTAACAATAGTAACTAACTAGTTGTACACTTTACACCATATTATGTACTCTTACCGTAACTAAAAATGTGAATTTTATAGTGAATTAAGTGACAAAAGATTAAAGAGAGGAAATGCGAGACTAAATGTGTTGAAATGTGTTATATTTTAGGCGCGCGTTGGAAATCAATGACAAACTCGGAGAAACAGCCCTATTATGAGGAACAGTCGCGCCTATCAAAGCTTCATATGGAGAAACATCCGGACTATAGATATCGGCCGCGACCTAAACGCACGTGTATTGTCGACGGCAAGAAACTCAGGATTTCTGAATACAAACAACTTATGCGTCAGAGAAGGCAAGATATGAAAAATTTATGGTAAATCTTGGGCTAAAATCAATGCTTTCTTTTGATTGTGTCCACAAAAATAGCGGTTAATTGTTTGTTGCAATGCAATTGTGTGTCTCATTAATAGTATAATTTTATGCCAATATTTATGTCACAGTCCAGTGGACCCGTACTTATCGTTTATGTCAATGCATTAGTGTTTAGTTTTGTTGACAAGTTTCCCCTTAATCTCCAGATGACAAGTGGTCTCAAAATAGACTATTATTAATGATTTTTATGAATATGTTCTCAATTTTCATTTTTGTTTATGAATAACTTAATGATTATTAATCATTATGGTTTAGTTTGCTATCGAGCTATCAAACAATATAGTTATGTCAAGATTTCCTGCAGTACATCGTCAGTGAATTCTTACATCGTTAGAGTCATTGCTCGGCTGCTCTTATATCTTATGTTAGTGTTTACGGCAGATATATTATTAGATTGACTTTGATTGCCTCAATAATTGCATTTTAATTGTTAAATTGACCAGTACAGTATTATTTCCCGATTCCCCACAATTTGAATGTTTTTGTTAGCCAAGAGTCATTTCTGTCTATAATAATTATTGTTATGTTATTTTGTATTACTTATTGTGCGATAATTAATTACACATTACAATTAATATACATTATTAAGAATGTTACAAGGAATTTTGTAAAAGTTTTTAACTTGATCATTCTAAAATACTTTAAAATTGTTTTGAATTGATTTGTTTTAAATTATGTTTGATGTAAGTTCTCTGTTAGTAGAAAGCAATGTATTTTGAATGTAAAATATACTGTATATGAATGGCATATAATAAGGGATAATATATAATTACTAGGTTCCATGGTGGGTCGGCATTTGATTCAATGGAATCCACTCCAGGAGCCAATGGTTTACCAATGTTTCCATCGAGTAGTGATGGCAACGATGACTACCAAAGTCCGTCTCCTTCCTCCTCATTCAGCATTGACGACAAGTCATCGGATCCGTCGACACTCAGAGAATATTCTGTTAGTCCTAAGACTGAAGACATGGATAACATTTAATAATTGAATTACTCAACACTCAATTGCAAAATGTTATCATTTAATTAGTTATATTTCTATTCATATTCATCTAAATTAAGATAATTAATAACTCATTACATGAATAATACTATGATTTAGTTCATCAAAAATGAGGTACAATTTGTCAATAATTGTTTATTGAATGGTCACTGAATTCACATAAACTATTCATACAATACATCCCTAATCATTGTTTTATATAATACTTTTTGGTCCTTTATTTAGTAACAAATTAATGTTAATATTTAATACGCTATCGAATTATTATTTTGTGACAATTTGTTGAGACATCGGTTACATATGTTTTTGTTTGTNTCCCTAATCATTGTTTTATATAATACTTTTTGGTCCTTTATTTAGTAACAAATTAATGTTAATATTTAATACGCTATCGAATTATTATTTTGTGACAATTTGTTGAGACATCGGTTACATATGTTTTTGTTTGTGATGTTTTGCGTAAAGTTTTAAATTACATGAAATAGAAAAATATTACTTGAATATAATTATTACAATACAGAGTTCCCGAACGTAAGCATAGATAGTATTAATATCGGCAAAAAATGAAGAAATTCTTGTAAAGTACTTATATATTATATTATAATAATATTAAATAACTGCCAATTTTATCCCCTCATAAATTTAGTAAAGTATAGATAATAAATGATAAATTGACAAAAAAACGGCATCACATTCAATGCATTTATCAATTATTAAATATATTTATTGAATGTATAATTATCTTAATTTATTCTTCATATGATTTAATAATTATAATTTGCATTTAACTAATGTTTTCAATGTTAACTATTAAATGTGCATAATTTGAACAATTATTTGATGTATGAGACGATTCAAGTTAAGACCTTAATGGCTATGTGTTTTGTTTTGTATCTTTTCAGTATATTTCGGATATTACAGAATATAAGATATACAGTAAGCCCTTTGCGATCAAAAGTATTTCATATGAGTTCAAATGGGATTTAGAGATAATTGATATAAGTATAAATTCATGTTTTATTATCGCTTTACATATTATTAAACAACCGAATCTCGTATTAAAATGTTGGAAATTGAATACATTTGGTGTTTGCCTCCACCCCTCCCACATCTTTACAACTTATACATTGAGATTAGACTATATTTATAATACAGTAAAACTCAATATAATTTCATTATAAGTATTGAACAATTTTGGTAGTCTTATAAACGTATTGATAAACTTATTGATTGTTTTATATATGCATTTATACTTTATATAAAAATAGTTTTAAATCCAATAAATTAATTCTAACTCGTAAGATCCAAAGTAACATTAAATCTCATTCCATGACAAGTAATATATGGGAAAATATTATCATTGAAACAATAACATGGTAACTTTAATTAATTCCAAAATACACATACATTAACAATACTGAATCGATATGGGTAACTGTTAACGTCTTAACTGGAAAACAAGTGTCATATTTATGTTAAAACAATTAAATTTTATAATATTTATAATTATTTAATATTATTTTAAGCACTTTATTGTCAAATGTTTAGTAATATTCAATTAACTATTAAATGTGCATAATTTGAACAATTATTTGATGTATGAGACGATTCAAGTTAAGACCTTAATGGCTATGTGTTTTGTTTTGTATCTTTTCAGTATATTTCGGATATTACAGAATATAAGACATACAGTAAGCCCTTTGCGATCAAAAGTATTTCATATGAGTTCGAATGGGATTTAGAGATAATTGATATAAGTATAAATTCATGTTTTATTATCGCTTTTATATATTATTAAACAACAACCGAATCTCGTATTAAAATGATGGAAATTGAATACATTTGGTGTTTGCCTCCACCCCTCCCACATCCTTATAACTTATACATTGAGATTAGACTATATTTATAATAAAGTAAAACTTAATATAATTTCATTACAAGTATTGAACAATTTTGTAGTCTTATAAATGTATTAATAAACCTATTGATTGTTTTATATATGCATTTATACTTTATATAAAAATAGTTTTAAATCCAATAAATTAATTCTAAGATCGAAAGTAACATTAAATCTCATTCCATGACAAGTAATATATGGGGAAATATTCTCATTGAAACAATAACATGGTAACTTTAATTAATTCCAAAATACACATACATTAACAATACTGAATCGATAGGTAACTGTTAACGTCTTAACTGGAAAACAAGTGTCATATTTATGTTAAAACAATTAAATTTTATAATATTTATAATTATTTAATATTATTTTAAGCACTTTATTGTCAAATGTTTAGTAATATTCAATTGTATATCATTTGTAAAAATTATGAACAAAAGTTGTCTTTCATTTGAAAATCATTTTATTATATCTGTAAAGACATAATGATATAAACTGTTGGATTCAATTAATCCAACTTATTGATTTAAATAAAAAAGTTTAATATTCACCATTTAAATATATATATTATTTAAGTTTGGTTATTCAATTAATATTTAGTTTAATAAATCGTAAGTAATCAATACTTCAGTAGTAGGTTTTCACGCATTTATAATGTATTACATGTACATTGTAAAGTAACGTAACAACGTATATAAAATATGTAATGTATACAGTAATATATTATTATCAATGATAATTTATCATGTTAACTGTAAAGTAAATAAAATGCCGTTTAATATAACATAGTTAATAAAGCATTGGGAATCTAACAGCATATTAAAGTAGCACTAAATTCAGTAACAGTGATTCTGGTTAAATTCATGTATAGGTCATTTCTTTGGACTCATATTCTTGATGCTAATCATTATATTTTATTTCAATTTGTTTTATATCTGCTCCACAGAATCTATTCTAATCTATTCAAAACAATGATAACAAATTCTTCATACATTAATATCTACAGAATCACAGAATATTAAATTATTTTATTACTGTATAGCCAATAGATTCCTTTGCCTTCAAAATAGTGTTTTGTATAACTAATTACAATTATAATTATAATTATAAATGGTAGCAACAATTCTTTACATTATAAGACTAATGGTATTAAGTGAAGAATTAAACAATTAATTTCATAACTTATTAGTTTTTAAATGGTTATGAGTGATAAGGTATGACTTTCTTATATCAATATTGTATTAATCGTTAACCTTTAAACTAATTCACTGTAATTTAGTTTAGTTTTAATGTATTTGTTATAATATATCTGTAATTGTCTGTAATATTACTGTAATTGTAATCTTTTTGTAATTCTCTACACAATTGTGTATCGCTTTGAAGACACGATTCTGTTATCCAATTGTGTGTCAATAGGAGTCACTGTTGTAGTGATGAATGCATTGAGACATTCACTCAAAACGATTGCAGTGTTTGTTATGTTTTGTTTACATTCAACACAATATGTTTGACAATTGATTCAATCGCTTATCAAATGTTATTTCAATTGTAAATCCGGATATAAATCAAAACAAAACTTTAATCCCTTTATATCTATATCTATGAGTTATGTGTGTATATATCAGTCGTGCGAGTGTGAGAGAGTAAATGCTATACACCTACAGTGAAAACACCACTTTCGTTGTAATATATAGAAAGATGTTTTCAGTATTTGCTATAATCTTAATGTAAATTTTTGAATAACAAAAAACAATATTAACTGAAATGGAGTAAAAATTTAAATCCTAAACAGTTTTGATTTCATCAATATTTCGTGAAACATAACAATATTTAGTAAATATTAAATTTTGAGACATTTATTGTAAAAATACGAATTATTATTTTGATTTAATTTAAACACGAGATTGAAAATAGTATTTGTATTAAATTACAGGCAAATCCAGTTTCAAGACATTCATGCTATTATTGTTTAATAAGTTTAAAATTATTTAAATTATTACATCTAAAGACAGTTGATCTAAAATATTAGTATAATTTTATTGAACACATAATGAATGACAAAACTCTTATAACTCTTGTATTTATAATACTAATAATACTATTGATTGTAAAGACAACAACTTTGATGACAATTAATACAACAGAAAACTCGACATCAATGACAATAACACTGAAGGCTAACAATAATAACACCAATAATAACAGCACTAAATCAGAGGACTGTTCTCTCTGTGAAACATTTAAATGGATATCAATTGGTGTGAATGTGTTATTACTGTCGGCAGTCATGGGGTGTGTAATCCGACTGTCGGTCGCCTTATATCCGGTGCTCTGGACTGACACCGAAGTGAACGACAAAACCACTAATGCGTCCAAACGTGTGGAGGAGTCGAGTGATAGCGACTCAATGAATGCGAGCACAAAGTCTAACCGAGCGGTCGATCCGTTAAAATCGGAGACAACTGTCGCGTCGAGGGATGAGCGCCGCAATCGGAAGGTCACTGTCGGCCAAATGGTTAACCTATAGAACGATATTCTCTTTCATTATCACTGTATTTACCGATTATTCGTGGTTTTATTATTA